GGGAAAGAGGTGCCTTTGTGTCTGCTGATTAGATCTCTAGTGTCCACGCAGAGATCCTAAAGGATGCACAAATCACCTAGCTTTGCTCTTACACGGCACAGGGCATACCGCCGTGGACAGCACTATCCCCCAAATTCCTACGCTGAAGCCCTAACCCCCAACATGAACCTATCTGGAGGTTCTTCAAGAGCTAAACAAGGTTCAGCAAGGCCATAAGAGTACAATCCGAATCCAACAGGACCGAGGCTCCAGAAGAGGAAGAGGGGGCAGTGTTTCTCTCTAGCCTGTGCAAACGCAACTAGAAAGGGGCTCCTGAGACCCGGACTATGCTGGCTCCGTGACCTCAAACATCTGGCCTGCAGATCTAGCCTCCAGAACTGCAAGACAGAAACCTCTCTCTTGCTCAAGGGACACAGATGATGGTATTGTGCATGGCAGGCTGGGTGGACCGAGACGAGCACCAAGAGAAGTCAGACCTTCAGCCTGCAGGCCCGGGTTGCTCTCCTTCCCCCACAGCACCCGGGCCATGAGAGGAGAGCGAGTCAAAGCCTGGAGGTTCCCAGGGCGGCCAGTGGGTGTGGGTGTGGTGCTTTAACAACCACGCCACTTGCCGGTCCCAAAATAAATAATTCTTAAAAAAAAAAAAAAGTGGGTTGTCAGAAAAGTCATAGCACTTTTTGCGTAGAAAAACCCGTCGTGACTTTTCCGAAGACCCCATAGCATCTCGGCCCAACCACTGTGGCAACAGGAGCATCTCCCTCCCAAGGCTGGAAGCCCATGGCTGGGCTGGCCTGAAAGCATGCTGGGAGTGTGCATGGTTCCCCAGGACCTTGGGGGCTGGAACAAGGCACTGCAGTGTGATGAGACCCTTTCCAGGGCGACACATTCATTCTCTCTCTCGTACGTTCATGTGCTCCCTGTTAAAAAATACAACCAAATCAATAAAAGGCAGCATTTCCTTCCTCTTCCCGCAGCTCTTTCTGTGGGGTGTGAGGGCTGTCTGAGAACAGCACAGGCACAGGAGGGCAGAGAAGGGAGGTGACCCAACGTTAGCAAAAAGGCCAGTGGCCAGGGTCTATGCAGAGGCTCCCCAAATCAGCCATCATTGCCCACTTTGGTGAGCACATCCTGGCTGTGCTGGGCACCATGTCAAGCCAGCTGCCTGTGAGTTACAAACTCGTCAGGGTTTACTGACAGGCCACAAAACCATGTGAGTTCCTGCCAAATCCCTCCTAATTCTTGCTGGCCAGGGCTGGTTAGTGACAACAAACTGTTCACACCAAACCTATGACAAGCCATGTACTGTGTGACTAGGGACTTTCCTTCTTATCTCAGAAAAGAGGCCACCAGAAGGCCCACCATCGGAAGTAGGGCTGTCAGTGTGATACTGGCGGCCAAGGGTCCCCTCAAATGCTTTCTACCGGGCAGCACGTGCCACTAGCTTAGGGCTGTGAACTTGGTTATTTGCTGAAAGGGTCAATTGCCAAATAGTACAGGAGATCTATCTGGATATATCAAAAAGTTCAGGGACCAGCAGTTAGTGTAATGTCTATGTCGCCAAACTCCCATGTGGTCAACCGCGGTTCGAGTCCTGGATCCGGTGGCTTAAACTAATGCTGGGCATGTATGCATGCGTAATAAATAATTCTTAAAAAAAAAAAAAAGTGGGTTGTCAGAAAAGTCATAGCACTTTTTGCGTAGAAAAACCCGTCGTGACTTTTCCGAAGACCCCATAGCATCTCGGCCCAACCACTGTGGCAACAGGAGCATCTCCCTCCCAAGGCTGGAAGCCCATGGCTGGGCTGGCCTGAAAGCATGCTGGGAGTGTGCATGGTTCCCCAGGACCTTGGGGGCTGGAACAAGGCACTGCAGTGTGATGAGACCCTTTCCAGGGCGACACATTCATTCTCTCTCTCGTACGTTCATGTGCTCCCTGTTAAAAAATACAACCAAATCAATAAAAGGCAGCATTTCCTTCCTCTTCCCGCAGCTCTTTCTGTGGGGTGTGAGGGCTGTCTGAGAACAGCACAGGCACAGGAGGGCAGAGAAGGGAGGTGACCCAACGTTAGCAAAAAGGCCAGTGGCCAGGGTCTATGCAGAGGCTCCCCAAATCAGCCATCATTGCCCACTTTGGTGAGCACATCCTGGCTGTGCTGGGCACCATGTCAAGCCAGCTGCCTGTGAGTTACAAACTCGTCAGGGTTTACTGACAGGCCACAAAACCATGTGAGTTCCTGCCAAATCCCTCCTAATTCTTGCTGGCCAGGGCTGGTTAGTGACAACAAACTGTTCACACCAAACCTATGACAAGCCATGTACTGTGTGACTAGGGACTTTCCTTCTTATCTCAGAAAAGAGGCCACCAGAAGGCCCACCATCGGAAGTAGGGCTGTCAGTGTGATACTGGCGGCCAAGGGTCCCCTCAAATGCTTTCTACCGGGCAGCACGTGCCACTAGCTTAGGGCTGTGAACTTGGTTATTTGCTGAAAGGGTCAATTGCCAAATAGTACAGGAGATCTATCTGGATATATCAAAAAGTTCAGGGACCAGCAGTTAGTGTAATGTCTATGTCGCCAAACTCCCATGTGGTCAACCGCGGTTCGAGTCCTGGATCCGGTGGCTTAAACTAATGCTGGGCATGTATGCATGCGTGTGTGCCCAAGATCCTGAGAGGAGAATGGAGGAGAAGGGACTGTGGTGTGGCCATCCCCCCTGGGGGGTGATTTCTCACTTTTTGTCTCTGTCTCTCTGGCGAGCGCACGCACCCTATAGCAAAAACCTCTCCAAAAACAAAACAAAAAAAACCCTTTCCAAAAAAAAAAAAAAAAGTTCATGAAAGGGCCAGCCCTATAGCTTACTGGTTAAAGGAGCCAGATCCTACACGGCCGACTGCTCCAGTGGCTTAAAAGTCATGCCAGGCACATGGGTGTGCTTGCACCAAATCCTGACAGGATGGGGAGATGGGGAAGAAAGGATTACAACGCGATCGTGCCCCACTAGGGAGTGTTTTCTCTTCCCCTCTCTGGTGAGTGTAAGCAGACTCTGGAAATTATAAAAACAAGTTCATGGGGCTAGCAGATGGCACAGTGCTTGTACTGATGGACTCTCACATGGCCGACTGCGGTTCCAGCCCTGGACCTGGTGGCCAGAAAATCACAAGAAGTGTGTGTGTGCATGTGCGCCCAAAACCCCAGAAGAATAAAGGAGAAAGGATTGTAGTGTGGCCATCCCCTCCAAGAGTGATTTCTCACTTTCCCTCTCACTGCCTCTGTCTTTCTTTCTCTAGTGAGTTCACATACCCTACGGCATATGTACCTCTTAAAATATAAATAAATGAAACTCACAGAAAATGCATATTAAAAAACCATGCATACATTTCAAAAACGTTGCATCACAATGTGTACTTTAACTCTTAATTTTCCATGACCTTCTCAAGTCCCCTTGTAGCTACTGTACCAGATGTGCTATTCGACTCGCCCTCCCACCCCAATGCTGGCTGATCTGTCTTACTTCCTGTGGTCGGAGAGATGAAACTACGTGGTTTAAATTCCAGGCACTATACCTAGGAACAAAGTGGAAGACACCCCATCGGGCTACTGAAGCTAGTAGCCTTCAACACTCAATGCCATTGATTTCAGTCTGCAAGCTGAAGACTGATCCCAACCACCTCCTTCCTTCTTGGGCTTGGTGAGGATGAATGAGTCACTGCTTGTTCCAGGTTCTTCCTGGGATCTAGACAAACACTAAGAATGAAGAACAGGAAGGCCAACCAAGGTCAGCCTTTGGACTTCCACTTAACATCTGGCGTCCTTCCGCAGCATCTCGAAGTTGTGTTTGGCCTTGGCTCAAAAGCTTCCCCAGTGCTGGGACATCTGGACTCCCTAACGAACCAACGAGCTGACTTTGCTTCCTCAGTGGTCAAAACTCTCGCCATGGAACCTGTGGCTCTGAGCTCACCAACTCCTAGGAATGTTGCCTTTGAGAACACTGTTCCATCATCGATCAGTGACATGGTTGTGGACACTGGGATAGCTCTCTGCCGCTGGAACAGAGAGCTGTTTCCAGGAAGACTGGCGTTTACTCCACCATCTCTGCGATGTGAGAAGGAGCCAGCACCTGGCTCTCAGGGACTGGCCTGAAAGATGTCCTCTCTGTGGCAATTCTGGCTCCTCTTCAGATTCAGAGGCGTGCCTTTCCTCTCCTGGGCGATAATGCTTGATCGTAATTGCCAATTGCAATAGGGGCTCCCTTTGAGGAGCAGAGCCTGGCTTTGACAGGAGTCCCACCCTTGGCCAACAGGCCAGGCGCCCACAGACGGTCTCAGTGTCTTAGTCTACTTCTCTTTGGCCATGAGCCCCTCAATTCTGTCTTCTGAGCTGACTCTGAGAAGCAGTGGTTTTCCCAGCAATACCTACCCACCGCCCCATTTGCAAGGCTCGTCTGTGAAGCCGGAAGGGAAGTGAGCACACACTCCCTCATATCAATCTGGTATTTCACACTCACTGTGGTTACTGGAGGGGGAGTTGGCTGGGCTGGCAGTCAGCCAGAGGCACCATCGTAGTTTGGGAAGAGTGGCAGGTGGGGGGAGAAAACAAAGGAGAAAGGAGCATGCCACCACCAGGAAGGTTTGGGTGACAGGGCTTCCCACAGAGGCTGAAAGGCCAGCTGTTGGTCTTCTCACTTATCGTAAAAACTCCTTCCCCTGAAGGGATGCAGAATTTTCTAAAGCTTTTTTAATACCACCAAGAGATGCCCAAGGAACTTGTTCCCTCTGTCTTTGTGCATGAAGAGCGTGATGAAGCCAAGACAATGGAGGAGAAATCAAGAGCAGTACTGAGAGCAAAAACGAGGTGCAGCTGTGTGTGCCAGAGACAAAGGCAGACAGCACCTGTCTCGGAGGGAGGGCTGCAATCTTGGCCCAGCTGGCTGGCTGGCTCCTGTGCCCCGGGGAATGGGTGTGCCAGGGAGCTGCGTCACCCAGGGATAGACAGCTGCCTGTGAAAGAGACAGCCACCCTGAGCTCCGACTTCTCTGCCGACTAGTTCTCGTTCTAACCCAGACACTAAGCACAGACTTTTGTTTTTTATTTTTTTAAAGAAGTATTTAATTATTATCAGTAGTTTTTTAATATGCTAAAGGATACAAGCACTCGCGAGAGAGAGAGAGAGAGAGAGAGAAGGAGAAAGCGAGAAAACAAGCTGCCAGGTCTGGGACTTGAACCATGCTGGCCACATGAGAATCCAGTGCCCCAACCACCTTGCCACCCACTGCCCCTAAGCATAGGCTTTGCAAAAGACATGAACATTCTCACTCATCCTCTCCATTTTTCCACAGCACTGAGAACCTGACCTGCTTGAACACCTCAACATAATCCAGAGTTTCATTCTTTTTTTTTTTTTTGGAGAGGTTTTTGCTATAGGGCGCGTGAACTCGCCAGAAAAAAAGAGACAGAAAGCAAGAAATCACCCCCGGGGGGATGGCCACACCACAATCCCTTCTTCTCCATTCTCCTCTCGGGATCTTGGGCACGCACACACACGCGCCCGGCATGAGTTTAAGCCACCGGGTCCAGGACTCGAACCGCGGTTGACTACATGGGAGTCCAGCGACATAACCATTATGCCAACTGCTGGTCCCCAGAGTTTCATTCTTTACCTGAGGTCTTAAAAGAGTTACAGACTTACAGGCCTATTCTTGTGCTCTATTTTTCTGTGAAAGGGAGTACATTGCTTTCATCAGAATTTTAAAGGGATTTCTGATTGGAAAAAGGGTAAGAACATGCAATAGGAGAGAGCTCTGGCTGGGAAGTCCAGAAGTCAAGCTCTGCCCCTGGTCTGTCAGGAGGCTGTAGTTGGGTATTGGGCTCCAGGCCTGCATATTGTCGTCTTTCCTGCCAGAAGCAGGATGTCCACGTCCAACTTATATACGACCACTACAGTTTGCCCTAATGCTCGGGGCATTTGCCAAGAACTCAGGAGAAAGAGCAGCACCAAAAAAGACACACTTAACTAGTTCCCACCTGGTCCAACACAACCTGGTGTGGTGGGACACTGTTCGGTCCCACACTGGGGACATCTTACTCGGGGAAGGCGCTGGAGTTCCTGGCGGGTCAGAGAGCTGCCTCGGCAGGGTTCAGGCCTGCTGAGTGTCTGAGATGATGACGATGACACATGGGCAGAGAAGGGAAGATATGGGTCAAAGGCAGCAACGGCTTCGGCTGAGCTGTCTGAGACTCACCAAGCCAGAGGTGACAGTCGAGACCTTTGTGGGGCCACAACGAACTGGGTGTGGAGCGCCTGCCTCTGTAAGAGCAGATCACTTCTGTAAGGGTAAGGGATTGGAGTCTGGCTAGGACAAAATTTAGCGGTGAGGACCAGCAGGTCCACACTGGAGGTTAAGGTACTGGATCCCACATGGCTGACTGTGTAGTTGAAGTCCTGGATCCAGTGGCTTGAAAAACACACCAGGCACATGCATGCCCAAAATCCCAAGAGGAGAATGGACTATGGCATGGCCATCCCCCCAGGGGATGATCTTTCTCTCTCTCTCCAGTGAGCACATGCACCCTATAGCAGGAAAATAAAATACATGCATTTTGTGGTGAGAGGCGAAGACAGTACATTACTGAGGAATGAGGTCTTCGAGAAACTGTGCAAGGCCTCTGGCTATAATGTTCATAAAATTAAGGTCCAGAATTCTGTGCCAGTTTTTGAAAAATGACTTTTAGACTCTTCTTATGATTTCCTAAGAAAAGAAGAGGGGGCCCAGCCCTGGTGATGCAGGTGGCAAGGCACCTCTACAGGACGCTGGGGCGGTATGGGAGGCCTGATCCTGGGTTGACCTGAACACACCAAGCACAGCCCCATGTGCTTGTAATCCTGGCTGGCTGGGAGACTCGGGGAAGGTATGTGGGATGGGGAGGTCTTGTGGAGGACAGCTGACGGTCCATCTCTAACCTCTCAAGAAAGACGTCCAAGAAAAGAGGAAGAGAGAAGACCATTGGCATCGTGAGCTTTAGAGAAAAGCAGTATTTCAAGACAGACTGATTCTGAGACTACGAACAGACGAGGGGAAAGAGCAAAAAAGGACAGACCCAGGGCCGGGGCCAACAGTGGCAGTCCTGGAAGAGGCAGGCTGTGTCCTGGAAAGGCACAGGGAACAGACCCTGATCCCGAGGGCAAGTGGCTGGCAGAACAGACCAATCTCCTGGCTCCAAGAAGAGCTGACCTGGGATTAGACAGTAGCTTCTCTTAGAGGTTCCAAAAATTCAAGAGTGGATGCAAGAGCCTCCTTAGAACCACATTTCCTTTTTTCTGGGCCACTGATTTAACTCAGCTGACAAGGGCTCAACTGCCAATCACCTTAGGAAACCACAAGAAATGACCCAAACACATACTCTCGGGAAGACCACCAAGGGCCCTATCCAAAGGCAATGTGGGCACTCCCAATAGCCAGAGGCCCTGCCAGAGCAGGCACACCTTGCTCTGTGATCCGCAGAACACCCTGGAAGTCTCTGCGCCAAGGGAAGGACAGCATTAGGACAGCCTGCAGACAGAAGTGGCATTTAGTCAGCTGGAACCCTGCAGCGTCCCACGCAGCAATCAGCCTGATCTGCAGTGAAGCACAGAGCTTCACACTCCCCACCTGGCTGGGTCTGGAAATTGACGACAAACCTGGCTGTTTCTCAGGCTCTTGAGTGAACTGATGCCTGGATAGACCTCTGTCCTCCAGAAAGCCAGGAAGGGGAAGGGATGTCATCAAGACTCACGACAGAAATGTTGGGTGCTCTGTCCCTCCCTGTTCCCTACTTCAAGACTGGATAACAATCACTTTTTAAGCAACTGAGCTTCTCAATTTGCCTTCCCTATTATGAGCGGAGCTTCATGCAGAAAAGAAAACAGGCAGGACACAAACAGTGACAGGCTGTCAGAGATCACTGACTTGACAAATTAGGATTTTCACAATACTCTATTTCCAGTTTTATTTCCTCAGTTAATGTCTATGGCATTTACACAAATGCAAGACCACCTGTTGAATTTTCCAAAAAGGATTTAAAAAAGAATCTTTGACATGTATGCTCTTGCCTGCAGGGAAACTTTGTGATCACTAGGAAACCAGAGAAAGGAAAAACAAAGACAAAAAAAAAAGAGTACTGCCCTAGGTTCAAGATGCAATCACTAAACCACTCTCTGACACTCTCTGAATGAAGAGCCAGCCTCACCAGCCCTGAGGGAGGAGGGCTCTGTAAGGAGTGCAGTGGGGAAGGAGGCAAGCCTAGCAAGGCCCGAGATTGTCCCCCCAAAGACCCCCAGGTCCACAGGTGAAGGCAGATCATTCCAGGTCTCGGCCCAGACGAGCCCACTGATCCCCGCCCCTGAGCCACTCACTCCGGTCGGCAGATCACCAGGTCTCCTTTGTTGGTGCCATAGGCCAGGCCGAGTCCGGGCTCGGGCAGCCAACGGGCAGAGTTGATGCTCACATGTCTCCGCTGGTCGGCAGGCATGGGGTAAAGGACGTTGAAAACTCTCTGAGTTGGGAGGGAGTGGGGGTAAAAAAGAGAACAGGAGGAGAAAGAAGTTGTTACCATGAATAACAAAATCCAGGGGAAATACATTCACTGCAGGGAGGAAAGGTGCATGGTAAGGCTGGGAATAGGACGACCGATGTCTGACCCATGTCTGAGGATGTGGTCTTGAGTCCAAGGAGCGGGGACTGTCTTACACCCGGAGAGCCTGGTCTCTGAGGAAACACTGGGCCTACCTGACGCACCCTCCTTGGAGCCGTGGCACAGCGCATGTCGCTGCTGTCAGGTCAGCCCTGGGCAGCCTCGTCCGGAGCCCGCCCCACCAGGAAGGACTGCCCATTACTGTCCCCTGACCACACCAACTGGTGAAAGTCAACCCTGGATGGCAGTCTTGTTACCATGGAAATCATAGCGCTTTCACAGCAATGGGGAATTGGAGGTGACAGGGGGGCGGGAGGGGGTGCTAACATCAGAGAACATTTTTAATTCATCTAATTAAAAGCAATGTTAAAACTGCTATTGTTAAAGAAACTTAAAAGGTGCATTAAGATGTAGGGAGCAGGGCAGAGGGGAATCTTGAACACATACGTACACGATTTCTTCCTAGCTTATATAAATCATCATTAAATAGTTCAATTCCCCTCCTCAAAGGGAAGAGTCTCCTTTCTTTCAACAATCCACATCTCTCTGGGAACCAGCAGTTAGCGTAATGGCTATGCTGCTGGACTCCCACGTAGTCGACCGCGGTTCGTGTCCCGGACCCGGTGGCTTAAATCTCACGCCGGGCGCGTGTGCGTGCGTGCCCAAGATCCCGAGAGGAGAATGGAGGAGAAGGGATTGCGGCGTGACCAGCCCCCCCCGGGGGGTGATTTCTCTTTTTCTGTCTCTCTGTCTCTCTCTGTCTGTCTGGCAAGCGCACGCGCCCTACAGTGAGAAATCTCTCCAAAAAAAAACACAAAAAAACAAAACAAAACAAAAAACAATCCACATCTCTCCAAGCTAATATTTTCCAAGGGGCAGCTTAGCTGTGTCTAGGCTTTGGGCTGAAATAAGACACCTCACAGTCTCTTTGGCCACTGACCTCCAAGATGTTCCAGAAGCAACATCAGTGGGAAAGAGGGACATGCTGGTGGAAAATGAAAGATGGATTTTAAAGGTAAAGGGACTTGGGGTTTGAACCCCGATACCACCGTGTAAACTTCTTTAGATCTCAGCTTAGAACAAGAATCTACATGCAGGCTGGCCCTGTGGCCCAGTGTTTAAGGGAGATGGATCCCACATGGCCAACTGCAGTTGAGTCTCAGTCTCAGAGGCCTGCAAAACACACCAGGTGCTTGTGTATGCCCAGAATCCTGATAGGATGGGAAAACGGAGGGGAAGGGATTGCAGTGTGGCCATGCCTGTTTGGGGGTGTTTTCTCTCCTTCTCTTACTCCCTCTTTCTTTCTTTTTTTCTTGGAGAGGTTTATGCTATAGGGTTTGTGTGCTGGTCAGAAAGAGACAGAGAGACAGAAAGTGAGAAACCAACCCCCAGGGGGGGTGGCCATGCCACAATCTCTTCTCCTCCATTCTTCTCTCGGGATCCTGGGCACGTACGCACATGTGCCCGACGTGAGTTTAAGCCACCAGGTCTGGGACTCAAACCGCAGTCGACTACATGGGAGTCCAGCAACATATAGCCATTATGCTAATGGCTGGTCCCCCCAACTCCCTATTTCTCTGTCTCTGCTGGTGCACGTGCCCTCTGGCAATTAAAAAAAATAAAGAGTACTCACATTCAAATAACTAGAGTTTTTTTTTTTAAAAAGAATAATTTTATTTAACTTTATTTATTTACCTATTCAATTTGACCAGAGAGGGTCAGAGAGAGAGGAGTGGGGAAAGTGAGAAAGCAAGCTACCAGGTCTAGGACTTGAACCGTGGTCGGCCATGTGGAGTCCAGCGCTCTTAGCCACCACGACACCTGCAGGCCCCAAACTAGGGAGGAGACTGTATTTTTAAGAATTATAAATTATTTACTTATTTATTTATTTTAATTTGACCAGAGAGAGAGAGATTGAGAGAGGAGGAAAATAAGAAAGCAAGTCACCAGGTACGAGACTTGAACCATGGTTAGCCATGTGGGAGTCCAGCACCCTTAATCACCATGCCACCTGCTGGCCCTAACTAGGGAGATTTTAAAAGATGATTTATATAAAATGGCCAGCACAGTGCAAGCTCACAAATAACTCCTGTTATTGACACTAGGAACCTGTACTGGGGCTTCGAGAAAGGACATGAGGCTGAAAAACTATCAAGTGGTTTGATTTCCCATTTACGTTTCCCAGTTTTTACTCAACAGAATAAACTTCACCTGTTTTTATCTGCCCTTCAGGTTAATGGAAGGAAAAAAAAAGGTAAAATAAACGAGAGTATGATTTGGAAAACAATATTCAAATGACGAATTTAGGGTGATACAGTAATAACTGTTTTTCTGATTATCCTGATGAGAGATTCCCCCCCTCAAAAAATGAAATAGGAACTAGCAGATGGGATAGTAGTTATGTCGCTGGACTCCCACATAGCTGACCACCGTCTGAGTCTCAGACCCAGTGGTTTGAAACTCACTCTGTGGCCAGCAAGTGGCATGGTGGTTAAAGGTGGTAGACTCCTGCATGGTCGACCTTGGTTCAAATCCTGGGCCTGGTGGCTTTCCCACTTTCCATCTCTCTCTCTCTCTCTGATCAAACTGGAAAATACTACTACTACTAAATAAAGTCGAATAAAATACTTCTTATAAACAAACAAACAAATAAACAAACTAACTCACTCTGGCCATGTATGCATGTGCGCTGAAGATCCTGGAAGGAAAATGGAGGAGAAGGGATTGCAGCGTGGACATCCCCCCAGGAGGTGATTTCTCTCTTTTTGTCTCTCTGGCGAACATGCACACCCTATAGCCAAAATCTCTCTCTGTCAAAAAACAAACAAACGGAAAACCCAACACACACAACAAACTAATAAACCAATAAATAGAACTTGGGCATGTACAAGAAGACACCACGGTGCTCGGACAGCTGTGGCGGGGTAACGTGAGGTGTTTGATGTTCCTGCTCCCATAGGTCAGGTGAGGCACACCAGAGTCAAGGCTGGGCGTTCATTTCAATTAATTGGATAAGGAGAGCCTCAATATTTCTGGACTGTCATAGCTCGATAAGGGCCTTACGACGGTCCCCCCTAAACTCATAAAGACTTAAAGAGAATGAGGAAGAAGGGCCAGAGAAAGCCTTGCCAGTAGGAGGATAATAAAGTTTTAGTAAATCATACACTTAAGGATTGTGCCAAGTTTTTTATGTCAGTCTCAAAGAAAGAATAAAACAATTCTTTCCTAGAAATATTCCAGACCGAGAAAGAAGCAAACAAGCCTCTTATATGTCACAGATTCAACCTTTAATTGCTACAGAGGGAGTGACAAGCACATACCATCATTTTGCTTCTTAGTACAGGAACATGGCTTGGGGACAAAACTCTCAAGAGACCATTATGGCAGATGATGCTTGGGTGAGACAAGGTCACAGACGGATTGAGAAGAAGTAATTAAAGGTTCACGCTCCAGACCTTGCCAGCTACTCCACAACGGCTGTAAGGAGTCAGGGAACATCGATCTGTCCACCGGCGATGGAACCACCCACCTCATGCCCTAGTCCTTAAACATTGCTAAAAGGGCATCTCCCAAGTACCTGTCTCCTCTAATGTTTGGGTATTAGGCTAAATCCTGCTTTGTGGCAGGAGGCCAGAAAACGCCACGTGGAGATCAGCAGCCCCTAGGACTCCTGATAAGCACTTGCAGGCTGATCACACTGTGACGTGGGGGAGGGGGCGAGGAGCACAGAGGAGGATGGGCATGCAGAGGCTGCAGGATAGGCGGCGATGGCTGGCTCACAAGTCCTGAGAGGTCCAGTCCTGCCCTCCTCACTTCACACAGAACCCCAGAGTAGTGAGACAGTCCGTTTGAGAAGCACCGACAGATGTAGTTTCCACTCTTCCCTGGCCAGAGCTGCACAGCTCACAATACACTGTTCCCCACTGGGGGGAACACTCCCCTCCATCAGCCCTAGAGATGAGAGGCTGTCTGGGCAACAAGCTCCCCCCGGTGACGGGGATGAGGGAACTCCAGCTACAGCCCTGCAATTTACGGTTTCAGGCGTTAGCTGTTCTGACCCAGAGACTGGTGAGCTGGGACTCCTCAGATGTCCATGGGGGCTAGGTCTAAAACCAAAAGTTCACCAATACTGACAAGAAAGAGAATCTGAGATATTGGAAAGAATGGTTCTGACTTTCACTTAAAGTTACCACAAATACATCTCAAGTTCAGGTTTCTCTGACAGTAGCCAGGAGCTCCCATGGGATGCCAAGGGCAAAGGTCAGCAGCCTGCTGAAGCCCCCCCGCCTCCCAGCAAAAGCCACATCCCGTGAAGCCACAGCGCACAGCCTGCTACGCTGGAGGAAGAGTACCAGGACCGGGGACCTTTCGGGGCTGGATTACACACCCAGCTGCCGATTCATGTCTGAGGAGTCCTGGTTTCACCTGTCTTCACTGCAGCTTTTCCCTGGAACATGAGGAACGCTGTCAGCAACCCCTACCCCCGAAAGTAGATTGTCCTCATTTCTGTCTCACAGCTATGAAGGGAATCAGATCAATATGCTAGAGGGGACACAGTTCTTAGAGTCAGTGCAGTCTCAGCACGTCAACAGGGACCGAGTTCGGCCACCGAGATCTTGAGGGCTCTGAGGAACAGATGACTCCTTCACTTCTGGGGTCCGAAATCGTCCCTCGTACTGCCTGCCTCTCCATCCCTCAAACTCGAACTAACAGGAAGGCAGGGAAAATGAAGAGTTCCCAGATCAACAACGGAAGAATGAGAGGGAGCAAGAGGTCAGTGGGAAACTTTCCGTCTTTGAAGACGCAGAGGAAAATGTGCTGCAGCTCTCAACAACATGCTTGCAGATAGGACTTGGGCCATT